GTGGACGTGACTCGTGAATTCGGTTTGAAGGCTAGCATTACATTTTGAATTGGCATGTCGGCCGTCCACCAATTCATGAAACTGTCAATTTTCCAAACATTGGGGGTGTATTATCCTTCTTTTGATTGATTGAAACTTTTGAAAGCCAAGGTGGAAAAGGCTAGCATCCTTATTTACATTTATATAAAAACAAAACGTACTTTCTTACTTTTCCTGACAAAATTGAAAATACTATTTTGCATTTTATAGAATAGTGAAAAGAAAAAATGCAACTCTGCGTATCAATATTTGCATATCGTGAAAGTTTTAGGTGTTTCGGGCTAAAAAGAAGAAGAAGAAGAAGTCAAATTGCGCTATAGTAAGTTTTAGATTAAGGCTCCGTTCGTTTGGCGGAAAATATTCTCCTTTTGGAAAATATTTTCCCGGAAGTCATTTTCCTGGAAAATGTTTTCCCATAACATAATTTTCCGGTGTTCGGCGACCAATATGAAAAAGTTTCGGAAAATATTTTTCACCGGCGACCGGCTGCGCCGGCCAGTGGCGGCGGCCGGTGCCAGGCGACGGCACGGCCGCGATGGCGGCGGGCGGCGGCGGCGGCCGGTGACCGGCAGCGTGGGCGGCGGCGGCCGCGGCGGCGTGCCGATGCCGGTGGCGACCGGCGGCGGCGGGCGACCGGCGGCCAACGGTGGTGACCGGCGATCAACTTCCTCTCCCACGGAAAATATTTTCCCTCCCATGGGCAATTTTGCCTTCAATTTGGGGGACAATAATTTCCTCTTTGTGAAAAGAGGAAATCATTTTCCTCAAAATAATGAAGGATTTGGGGGTGGGGAAGGAAAATGTTTTCCCACGGAAAATATTTTCCGGAAAAATATTTTTCCGCTAACGAACACAGCCTAAGAGTGCGTTTGTTTCATTTAAAACTTTTTGATAAAGGAAAATATTTTCAATGGAAATCATTTTGAAGAAAGATGATTGGTTTTTATTTGTTTGGTGGTTAGGAGAAAGTGATAAAGTGATTTCCTCCTTGCGAGAAGGGAAATGATTTTCTCTAGGGGTGTGTAAAGGAACCGGGAACCGCCCAGAACCGGCAGTTCCCATGGGGATCGGTCTGCTTCCCGGTTCCAATTTACATGAAGCAGTGAATGCCGGTTCAGCTCCCGGTTCTAAGTGTGAAACCATTCACCAGCCCATCTGGACTGGACTAGACCGGTATATAAATATATATTTTTTTAAAAATTCAGTTCACTGACATATAACGTGTTTGATAGAATGCCTCTAAGAATACTAATTTACTAGGTTTCGAAGAAGTTACTTGCGTTACATCATTGTTCATGAGAGTCTTAGGCTCATTTAATTTGTTAGCTTAAATGAGAGCCTCTTGAGACTTGCAGCAGGTCGTGCATAAGCTTGAAAAGTTGTAGAGGGCAAGAAAAGATCAATATAACAAGCTTCTTTTTCATATCACAAATACAACATAAACATGAGACAAGGGAATGTGAAGAATAGCCCACATGGGTTGGAAGAACTAGAACAAGCAAAGCAAGCAAATTTTTCCCTTTTCTTCATCTCCGATTCTTTCTCTCCCTCTCACTCTGCACATGTCTTTCATTCTTGCTATGCATCACCATGTAGTGAACACAACCCACCAAGATGCTTTCCTCCATGAGCCATGGGATTTAGATTGACCCATTTTTTGATTTATCTAGAGAAGCTTGGTGGGACCGGTTTCATGGACCCACTTGGGAAATGAACCGGCTGGTCCAATTCAGTTCCTGGGTGGGTCCATGGCATCAACGGGCGGTTTCCAGTTCTCAATTTTCAGAACCAGTCCTTAGTGGGTGATTCTCGATTCCAGGATGGGAATCGCCCCTCCGGACCATGCTCACCTCTAGTTTTTCTCCAATCGATATTTATTGTTTTTAGTCTATGGAAAACGTTATCCATAACCTTAAGTGAAATACAAGAAGGAAGAATCTATCCGGACGGACCTCGAAAAGTAACATGGCTCTTGTTATGCCCGCGTAAATGAGAATATAACTATTATAGTTCTCTCCAAAGATAGAACTTTATGCAATTTGGATCTGGTGCTTAAGATGAATCAATTTGATGCCCAGCCCGACTCGTGTGCTAACTCAGCTGACCCATGTTGGTGAGTCTCTTACTAAAAGAAAGCGATTCCATCAACAGTGTAGCGTGATGGTTAGGAAGAACCGCACCAGTTAGTAGGTTTCTAACTCAACATACACCCTGACAAGGCAAAAGTGAAGGCAATTTAGGTTTAATCTGTTTGGACCTTGATACATGCGCTTCCATCAGGTGAAAACCGGGGTGTTGAAGCCTCTAAATATCTAGCTCGGGGGGTTACATGGAAACTGAGTTGGATGCTTCCCTTTCGCTCTGCTTTGATTTCAAACCCTAACTTTGTTAATCCATTCTTATAGAATCTTGTTGATGATGGTAGGACGATAATGTCGGCTGTTTCTCGAACCCTTTGTTTTGTTGAATGTTATGGCGTATGAAGCTTTAGGTTTATCTCAACTTCCTTCAAATTGAGAATACTTGTCTCTACACATTCATACCATTGCTTGAGGACCACCAAGGCATTCAAGAGGAGCCCAAGGCACGAAAAGCTTGATCCCATCACAAACGACGCTAACCCAGAATCACAAATTCAGCTCTAGATCATTTCATACTGATATCGATGCATTCGACCTCCGAAAGTCATCTTCTTTCTTGAATGTTAGCCAATGCTTTAAACGTGAAAGATAAAAGTCGAGTGAGTAAAATCTCTCGCGAGTGTACTCATCCAAGGGCAAACTTGAAGGTCGGCAGAGATCATTTGTTCACTATCGGTACTGATTATCAACTGTGCGTTGGTACCCTGTGGGATTGCATGTCATCCTTGAGAAAGGACTTCACATGATGATGACATAAAGCGAAAGGGACAGGGCCGTGGGATTGGGTCACGCAGTCCACTTGAAGACTCAGTGATCCCTGTCTCTTGCAAAACCAAAGTGAAAACCAGTCATCAGTAGGTCACTGCAATCTCATTTTTCGTCCTGACTAGTGAGCTTGTGATCGACAAGCCATGATGATTTAAGCAACAACCAACCTTAATGGCCGCGACGATGAAGAGATCGTTCACTAAATGATGTCATTCATTCTCACATTCAATCAAGATGGATCTAGACTCTAAGGGGCACGTTCAGACGTGTGCAGATAGAGAGTGTCCGTGGAGGCACTGGAAATAATGGGGTGTGTTGAAGTTAGCTTTATGACAGAATAAGGATGTCAAAAGATGCTGAATTGTGTCTTCCACGAGCTAACCATCGTTTCGAGGAATCGAACCACCAAGCGTAAGATTGTCTTTATGGTCAATTCCACGATGTACAATTGTTTCTTCATGATTATGGTGTCTTTATTGCTCCACTCTGAAAGGGACGTGCTCAACATATGTTAATGGAAAACATTAGGGTTTTAATTAGCGTAAGAAAATCCAAGTTCAAGGATGTATAACGCAGCTTTTTTATGTGGGGTAAAATGAAATATCCCGTAAAATTAGGAACCCAATCATCAAGAGTGTTGCCTAGTGATTCATGGGGTCATGTTGTATCCAGTGAGATCACAAATTTGAGTCACGTCGTGAACAAACATTTGACCGGCTTGTACCTTGGAAATTTGCTACTTCATATGGAGAGACTTTCCGACTTCTAGCACGCCGGTAAGTCCGTCGTGATGGGCTCATGCACCTATGAGTAGGCTGAATAGTTATAACTAAATCCGAATATTCCGCAACAGATGTTAGATCCTTAACAGCTAGTTGCACATCCCTCCCCCATCCTTTCCATCCGTAAAAAAGAAAAATTAGGAATCCAAACGAAACAAAGAGTACCGTGATTTAAAAGCCAATAATTGATTCGATACGGGGGAAGGATTGTGTCCTCTACCTTGATGGAAAACATGGACGTGCAAGGGGAACTTGACGTTAATCGCAAATTGAATGAGGTAGGTTTGCCTTTATAGGGTTTGGCACGGTAAGATTCGACAGCTTAAAGATGAACCCACCAAATCAAATTCCATCAAAGTTGCTCAAACAAAAGTTTGATTTTCCTTTCGGCCTACTACGGCCGATTCCATTTCCATTCTAAAAGGGCATCACTGATTGACCCCCTTCACATGCCAAATAGATCCGTAATGATGTCGGCAACCAGAAGAAGTGCACCACTCGATCGCGCCACCGATTGGTTCAAAGTCAAGGGACTCAAAGCTCCCTTGTTTGGGCCAATTCAACGGCTCTCATCGGTCCTCATGTCGCGATGTCCAGTCGTTTCGAGTTAGTGCTGCGCACCTCACGTCGTTTTCGCTGAGACCCACATGGTGAAGCCGTGCGAATGAGCCAGATGTCGGACAACGGTGAACCTACGAGGACCCCCAAGGTTTTCGCATTTTGGTCTATGAATTAGAAGAAGGGATCTAATTCCATCTCCTTAGCGTGGGCGGTTCTTGTTGCTGGTCCCACTGGTTTATTTGTGTCCAGTGCCGATTTAGATAATATAATGTCGCCGGAGATCGATACGCAGGCAACAACGCGAGGTGCTGGAAAAATCTGAAGCCTAGTGATTCCATCGTTTCTTGCAAAGTTCTCACTTACACCATTCAATGTGTAAGGAGTCGGGGCTTTATACTTTTCTGCTCCTGATCCCTTAAGGTTTGGACGTGGAGCTCTTCTCATGTAAAAGTAATGCTTCTAAGTTCTAGGCTCGAGCTGTTATTGCCAATCGGGGAAATGACGAATTTGTAACACCCTGACCTGTTGCACCTCTCTTCGTCATTTCGCGAGCCGATTGGTGTGGTTCATGTCGTGATAATGCCTGGTTAACATTCTCCGTTCGATCGCCACTAGTGGAGAGGGGCTGAAGCTTGATAATCAATCGAAACTATAGGGAACAATTCAAGGTTGCTCCTTCATTGTTAAATTGTATTACTTCGATCCTGAATAACACGAGAAACCTATTTATTTGCTTTCACCGCTCGACGTAGTCCACCGCCGTCTCCCAGAGACTTGATGTAAGTCCTCCCCTCGAAGTACAACATAGCAAAGTCCACCGCAACAGAAAAGAAAGTGATGAAGGAAACAAAAACATGCAAACTCCCAAGAATACATCCTACTATCTATAAACAGAGCAATTGGATGAGGGCCGGGCAGAACAGTATGATCCATGTCATTCGTCGTCTTTGTATGGGTACTCTTCAGGGACTTGCTTCAGGAGTTTCACTTGTAACTCAAACGCATCATCCCCTCGAAGCATATCGCGAATCCATGTTACTTCCGTCTTCATTGAAACCTTAATAGAAAAGGTAGCATGTTCAGCACCATAAAAAAAGAGGGAACAGAGAAGAAGTGTGGCATAAAGCAACATCACCATCTCTACTTAACAGAAAAAAGTACGCATAAGGTCGGCACTTCAAGTTCGATGCCTAACTCTTAAAATGCTACTTTTAATCAAGTCTCTAAGAGAAAAATCTATATTCTGCCAAAATAATATCCAGGAGCCAGGACGTACACACTCTCTCTAATGTGAGAGACTTTATATAAAACACCTTAGAGTCAAACTCAGAGACAGCAGGTTTGATATCTCGATCTAACGGCCACAATGTGATAATAGCCATTCAAACAGTATAGCACATGCTATCCATCCTCATTCCAGCATCCAAGTGTCAAGGGAGAAAGTCTCAATAATAACATAACAACAATATTTTAAAGAACCAAAGTACCCTAAGTTTTCAAGAAAAGAAAAATTTTATCACAAACAAATTCCAGTTAATGGAAGACAAGGGCTCCCCCGAGCCTCTTTCATGTTGGACCGCTGAGTGATGCATCGTCTTATCAAAGCAATTATCAGTAGCCAGTCCGAGAGAATAATTAGCCATACTAGGACTGAGACATGGCCCCAACTTCTGGGAATTTTGCACAATGCGCAAAAGCCTGATGAAGCAACATCGCATATACTGGAAGGTAAAGGGACTTGCCAAAATACAAATCTCCAGAAACTTCAGACTGAAAGAAGGTTTATGGAGATTTTGCGAGGCCTTAAATTCCAAAGATCTTCAACCATTAATTTCAATGTAAGAGAAAACGTCCCAGGTTCCTTTTCATAGTGTCCTTTCAGGCGACCGAATAAAAAAGGGTAAATGAGTCCACAAATACCTAAACTTTTGCCCTTTTTACAATCTAGTACCTAAACCTTTTTTTCTTCAATCAAATACTTCACTGTTCCAAATTTGGATCAATGTGAGATCCATCTAATAAATTGCCATGTTATATGATTATGATGATGTGGCTCGTTTATTTGGCAAAAACTACACACTATTGATGACGTGGATCGCTTACTTAGCAAAAATAGCGCCATCTCCATTTAGGTGTTACGTTATAAGGAGGGAGAGAGAGAGAGAGAGAGAGAGAGAGAGAGAGAGAGAGAGAGAGAGAGAGTGTTGACTTGGATGATTTTAGCTTTCCAATATGTCTTCGTTAACATGGCATCATTTTAAGAGGCTACATTGGATGCCAGTATGGACAGTTAATGGCTACTTGATGGCGGTAGTGTCCACATTGGCATTTCCTTCCTCAATTCTAACAAAGGTCTCACATTGACTCACATTTGAAAAGTTAAGGTACTATTTTGTAGCAAAAAAAAAAGAAAAATAGATACCGGACTGTAAAACTGACAAAAGATCACACACTTGTAGTTGCAGTTTCATATAGCAAAACGGAAAGCTCAAGGATACCATCCAGGATTGGTTTTATAGTTTAATTATTCCTATTTTATATAAATCCAGTTATGATCTCTCTAGCTGCTTGGTTAACTCGAAATTAGGAACCTCAAAATAATTGATCATCAATGTTATGATAAATCGATCAACATACATTGAATTTTAGGCCTTACTCGATGCTTTATTTTATATTGTTCATAAGTGAATTTCATTACTCTGGACTGATCATGTATTGGCCCCGCTTAATTGTGTGATGCATGCCGCAGAGATTTGGCATGGGGGACAACACTGATTGCCACTATTCAGTAGCTGGAGGCTATCTAGTGGGCTCTGTAAGACTGGAAGAGGCTTCAGTAGAAGAACTTTGATCCAAATCAAAGACAGAACTCAGGAAAGGCCTGAACACATAGAGAGATCTGCAAATGACTTGATTTTCTTGGAACTAGTGCCAAGAGCAACATAACAAATTGTGGCAATATGGCTGGAGTTTTGCATGCGGTCAACCTATCAAAAACTTCCTTACATCTCTTAGTCGTGTGCCCATAAGAAAGATCAGATTGGTGAACCTATATGTGTATGTGTGTGTGTGTGTGTGTGTGTAGATACACACACGCACATTCATCCATTCTTCCACTTTGAACACTATAAGACTTTTAGCCAGATGGCTTCAACAGGTTGAGCACAGACGGGCAATCAAGTCTTGATCAAGAAAGCTTGAGGGTACAGTCGATCAAGTCTTGATCAAGATTGACTGAGAATCTGTACCTTTGTCAATGATTTGCGGATTTTCGGTTCCAATCAGCTATAATTCTTCAAGATATATTCTAGGTACTGTAATGGCAGGTATAGGAGCCTAGAAGTACCTCTGTCGAAAGCTATTGATGGTCCTGTTATGACAGAGTTTTCCTCGATAAGAATTCTAGTGAGACCTTGTGCTATATCATTTATTGGCATGTGTTACATTGGATCAATTGTGTTGGGTGACATTGGCGCTATGCAATTCATCAACCACCCTGTCAATCATGCCTGATATCCAGAAAAAAAGCAAAAATCTTAAAGCAGCAAGTGGCTAGCTACTTCTGAGCAGCAAAGCAGTACTGGTGACACAATTAAAATGATAAAGCTAGCATTATCCTGTGCCCTAATGGATGTCTAAATGAGAGATGATAACATAAACCTTTCAAACAAGTCATCATTGAAGTTACTAGAAAACGTCTCGATTGCAAATGATGATTTGAATTGCAAAGACAAAACTAAAGCAGCAACAAGTAAACGTAAATAAGGTCAAACCCTAATATAACAAAAAAGAGATGAGCCATAGTTAAGTAAGATAATGGCTTAGTGCTTACCATCTCCAAAGCTCCTCTTATGACCCCACTCAAGATGTTGCAATAATATAGACCTTGACATGTATCTGGGAGTTCGACAAAGTCAACCAAGGGATTATCCTCCAAAACTATACTGCAACAGGCACCATCGGCATCCCAATTGGTCACAGAGGCAGTAACTCCGAGGAACATTTTAAAACCCACCTATGCCAAAAAAAAAAAAAAAGAAGTAAAGAAAAGTCTAGTGGATTTGGAAAATTATGGAGAGTAAAAACACCTATAATGTCACGGTCATGGAAATCTAGTGGAATATAGGACAAGGACATAAGGAAAAATGAAACTAAAGAACGGATGTCCAACAGTGAGTGATTATCGAAGCCACAGCGTCCTAGATGAAGATAAGGTAATGAGTATGTACCTTTGCAATCATTTCTGATGTCTCCTTAAAGTCAACACATCTGCTGACATTTGATTTAGCTAGAAATTCGTCAATGAGTCGTATTCCAATGTTATAACCCCTGCAAGGTAATTAAAAGTAAACAAAGTTTACTCTCATTTTGTGATTAGATATAAGCATGTGGGAGTATGGTTCTTCCGATTGCATGAGAGTGCATAAGGGTGACGTAACCCCACCTCTCCATGGCCAACAAAAAAGAAGAATGCATAGAGAATAGATGAAATTATTGACTTAACAGAGAGATCAGTTAGAATCCATGCAATAAGAGATGTAGTGTATAAGTCAAGTTGACACTTTATCCCTCACTTGTTCATGAAGCAGATACATAACAAGCTCTAGTCGATGATTGGTGCATTCAAACATGATCAACAGGAGCACATTCTGTGAAGCAAGAAGCGTACTCCAAGAAGTTTGCAAGACAAAAAATAAAATAAAATCCCAAGACATGCATATCCTTTTTGTCCCAGACAACCACCAGGAGTACTCTCACTGTCTCACATTGATCCTCACGTTAATGAATCATGTGTGGTTGGACTCGATACTGAAGCCAATCGGAACAAATTTTAGCTCCACCCATAACAGGCTTTCAATTGTTCAGAACTGATATCATGTTTATTACCATAAATCCAATTAAAGATCCCATTTCAACTACTACCATTACTACTACTACCACAGTCACTGATGTCGTTGCTGCTGCTACTACTGCTGCTACTTGTCAGCATAAAGGGAATCATAAAAACTTTCGTAAGAGAATCATCAGTAACTCCAAAACAAGTACATGTTGAACATAATTAGAAAATGGGTCTTGTTAAATAATTCCCCCGGAACACTAGTTAAGCAAACTTTATTCGGAATGGTTCAATTTTCAAGACACTTTTATGCGTTAACACGAGGGCAACCGATATAATGAAAATTGTAGAGTTTCCATTCTTAACAAGTTCCCTCGGGCACTTGTTAACCAAATCATTAGAATAATTACCCAACACCATAGAACAACTTCTCTGAGGGGCAAAACAAGAGTCAATTCGGTAGAAGGACGGAGAAATACATTTGATCGAGCTGCTTGTTGACTTCCTCCACCTCCTCCAGATCTGTGAGCAACTGGCGCACGATTGCCCCGTACGTCAGCGTAAACAGTTCCGCATTCTACAACAAGACAAGCCAAAAAGCATCATAATCTCGTCTTACACCACACGACGCAGCAGCAACACAAAATCTCTACTGAGATTTCGCCAATTTCCGGAGTAAAGAATCGCAAGTCCTAACTAAACAGCGCGCAAATTTCGAAGTCGACTGCAGGCAGATTGAAATCAACAGGAAAGCGACAATCTCCCCTCGGTAGCATTTCCGAGATGAGCGCTCGGCGAAGGAGCGAGATCGCACGCCATCGCCGGGAAGTTCGTGCGTCAAACTGACGAAATAAATGCAGAAGCGAAATCGGAGGACTGAGATGAGAGGAAACGCGCAAGATCCTGCTCACCACGCGCTCGACGCTGGCGAAGATCGCGTCGCCCGATCGAGGACCTGGAGCACGCGACATAGCGAGAGGGCGAGAGAGAGAGAGAGAGAGACACCGAGCTTCAACTTCAGCTGCAACCGCAAGGCGCCTCGACCCTCGCTCCTCGTGGCGATCTGAAACTTTTTCTGATGGCCGAGGATTGAAACTGAGATGGCGACGAAGAAGAAAGGGGAGAAACTAGCGGGCTACTGGGCTTGGGCTCTTAATGGGCCTGTTTCCTGGGCCGATCAGATAGCGATCCGTATGCACAACCATGCCCGGATATAGCCCAATCCAAGTCTGACGGTTTTTTTTTTTTGATAATTTTTTCTGACTTCTTACTTTTTTTCATCTTTCAAAATGCACAAATTTTACCATATGCAATGATATGTATATTTAGGTCAGTTTAATAAATTTTAAATTAAGAAATATATCAAGTATCGAATCAAAAACCAATAAATAGCTTCTCAATTGAAAAAGTTTGAAACTCAGTGGCACAAAAAAAGTAGTTTCTCGCAAAAAATATATGTTATTTGTCCAAAAACTAATGCGACATAGATGATGTCATTAATCTAGTTAACACTCCAATACGAGAATTATATCTGATATATCATCAGAAAATTACAATTGGTCTCGCCTTTACTACCTTCCTAATCATCCAGTATATATAAACGAAAAAGTACATTTGATCTCCTTCTGAGTATCTTCCATAATTTGACCCTCCTAAAATAAATAAATAGCGAATAAAAGGGATGATATCATAAATATGCATGTTTTCAGTGTCGTGTAACTTGAATGTACTAGCTTTCTATTGATTGACAGCTTTTGCGCGAATTTAAGAATGAGAATCGTTTTCACTATTTTATAATGGATTTTTCACATCTCCAGAGGAGAGATTAATTACGAAAGTGCGTAGCACGGGCTTGAATGCTACAAACACTTCGCAGAGGCTTGAAGGCTCCTATGTTTTAGAACTTCGAAATGCGTTATGTCAAGTAAAAGTCTCATTTTGAAATTTAAGTGTAAGGGAAAACTCGAAAACCACGACGAAGCACCCACTCAATAATCTCAGTAAAGAGGAAAAAGCAAAAGTTTGATTAAGGTTCTATTTATTTTGCAGATAATGAACAAATTAAAAACACTCTATAAAAAATAATCGCTTCTGTCGCTTAAAATAATTAATTAATAAAAAATATTTTCATCATGGACAATACTTTTAATCTAAATATTACCGAGATCGATAAAAATATTTTTTACTTTTTATAGTATATACAAAAGATTAATTTTAAAATAGTATCTTTTTAAATATTCATCTTTGGGAAATATACGCACCCTAAATAAAATTTTCTTTTTTTGGGTCAAACTCATTAAACAAAAAACACCGAGAGGAAGTGTTCCTTTTTATAGGGATTTTCATTGCGTGGCCCAAACGGTCGCGCGTTTTGCACGTCACGAGATGCCTCCGATTGTCGCGTCGTGTGGGCCACGCAACCAAAACGCGTGCCGTTGCGTCGATCGTGGTTTCTTCTTTTGCCCGGCAACAAGCCTATAAAATACCCACGATCTCACGCTTTGACAATTATCTCTCTGTTGCAAAAGAAAACCCTAGGCGCCATCTCCGTTCGACCTCTCGAAGTTCTTCTTCGCTCCTGTTCAAGGTAATGGCAAGATTTCCGCTTTGTTCGTAGGTCTTGTTTTCGAGATCTCTCGAGGCTAAACATGGCATGAATTGGTTCTGCTTGTGCGGGCGGTTGATTGGATCTTTTTCCCTTTGATTGTAATCGATTTCTTCGCATCATGGAACTGCGTGATCGATCATCGATTATCTGGTGTTCAAGAGTCGTGGAAGCATGGGCCAGAGGTCCGTTTGCTGATCAGGCCTTTGATTCCAGTCGTTTTGTGCATCTCGGATGCTTTAGCATTGAATTATGGTGCTTTTTTCTACTTTTTAGGTTATGCTTGTAGCCTTGTTCACCCAAATTGGGTTATGCCTATGAGATTGCCCTTGTGGCTTGTTAACACGAATTAAATCTGGGCTTTCACTGCCTCTGAGGGGGTATGGTCGTGGCTTGTTAATCCAACTACGGGTTATGTTTGTGGGGGGGTTCTGTTGGTGAAAACGAAAAGGGTCTGCGTGTTTCTGAATTCTGACAATTGATTTTTTTGGCTCTTGATTTTCGAATTCCGAAAGATGTCTTGTTTTTCCCGATTGATTGCTCTTGTGCTAATTCTACTGGATATAATTGAGTGGAGGTGCCGTAGTGCCTAGAGTTTTCTTTGTTTGGGTGGCCACAGACGGTGGTGCATAGAGTTTATGATACTGTGAACATGTCAGTCAATATGTTCTAACTGATTAATTATGATTTCAGATGCAAATCTTTGTGAAAACCCTTACTGGCAAGACAATCACCCTCGAGGTGGAAAGCTCCGACACAATCGATAATGTGAAAGCAAAAATCCAGGACAAGGAAGGGATCCCTCCAGACCAGCAGAGGCTTATCTTTGCTGGCAAGCAGCTCGAGGACGGCCGAACCTTGGCCGATTACAACATTCAGAAGGAGTCCACCCTCCACTTGGTGCTCCGCCTCAGGGGAGGCATGCAAATCTTTGTGAAGACCCTCACTGGGAAGACAATTACCCTAGAAGTTGAGAGCTCTGACACCATTGACAATGTCAAGGCCAAGATCCAAGACAAGGAGGGTATTCCCCCAGACCAGCAGAGGCTCATTTTTGCAGGAAAGCAGCTTGAAGATGGCAGGACGCTTGCGGACTATAACATCCAGAAAGAGTCCACACTCCACTTGGTGCTCCGTTTGCGGGGTGGGATGCAGATTTTTGTGAAGACACTTACTGGGAAGACCATAACATTGGAAGTGGAAAGCTCCGACACCATTGACAATGTTAAGGCGAAAATCCAAGACAAGGAGGGTATTCCCCCGGACCAGCAGAGACTTATCTTCGCTGGCAAGCAGCTTGAGGATGGCAGGACCCTTGCAGACTATAACATCCAGAAAGAGTCTACTCTCCACTTGGTGCTCCGTTTGAGGGGTGGGATGCAGATTTTCGTGAAGACTCTTACTGGGAAGACGATCACTCTTGAGGTCGAAAGCTCCGACACTATCGACAACGTGAAGGCTAAAATTCAGGACAAAGAGGGTATTCCACCGGACCAGCAAAGGCTGATCTTTGCCGGTAAACAACTTGAAGATGGCAGGACACTGGCGGACTACAACATCCAAAAGGAATCGACCCTCCACCTTGTCCTACGTCTCCGCGGTGGGATGCAGATTTTTGTCAAGACCCTGACGGGAAAAACCATCACCTTGGAGGTTGAGAGCTCGGACACGATTGATAATGTCAAGGCAAAGATCCAAGACAAGGAGGGGATCCCGCCGGACCAACAGAGACTGATCTTCGCCGGCAAGCAGCTGGAGGACGGGAGGACCCTTGCTGACTACAACATTCAGAAGGAGTCTACGCTCCACCTGGTGCTCCGCCTTCGCGGGGGGTTTTAAGCGGTGTTCTGGTGCTTCGTAGAATAGCACCGGATTGGTGTTGATGACCATTGTAGGATGGCTTTGAATAAGTTTTAAGACCTTTCGAAATTCTCTGCTTGGGTAGGTTTTTATACATCATATAGTATGAAAGTGGTAATGACATTCTGGTGAATGATTTCAGTTTCGTATGGTGGTTCTGAGTGTGCTGTTTCTATATTTAGTGTAGTTTGTCCATCATGGCATTGCCAATTACCATAAGGTTCTCTGGCCTTGGCAGCATTTAGATGAGCCATTTGAAATGTTAGCCACGATCTGATGGATCTCTTGGTTTTATAAAGTATATAACCATAATAAATTTCACTGCCATACCTTATTCCGTCCACGTTTTTATGTCAGTTAAGATTACTTTGATCTCGCATTCAATAGTACCCACTTTCTTGTGCTACCAGAATGCGTTGTCGTGGAAAAAAATAAATATTATATACGATGCTTCTCATAGTATAAGAGTATTTAGATATCATCATTATTTTTCTTTAGAATTGAGTACAAGATATGAAAAATAACGCGATATCTTTTCACATTATGCTCTTTCTCAAGTCACTCTCTCTCTAGCAATCAGAGCCTTCTGCCACATTGCCTGATGCATCGAGTTTCGACAAAAGTGAGTAATTCACTTATCAGGTAGAGTCTATTCCAGTTAAACCCAATTTCAGTGCTTGAGCTTGAATCTTGGATTAGACCTTAAACTCCATGCATGAGCTTTGTCTTGATTTTACTACTCTTATGGACGAATAAGTTTCCTTAAATTAGATTGCAGTGTGGATTTAAGATTGGAGCTCTATAAATCGCAATAATCTCATCTTTGTTATGCCGGTTAGGCTTGATATTAACCTAATTATTGTAGCCTTTAGAAAATGATTCGGCGACCACTTCAATTAATCTGATCATCTTTCTTTCTCAAGACTTGGGGCATTCGCATACTTGACTTAAAGCTTAGCTTAGCTCAGCTCGAGTTTATTCGTAATTTTTTGCTCCTAGGTGGTGAAAGGTCAGTTGTGAAATTTTAATCATTGCTGTCCTCGGTCTCCTGGCTATCAGGGGTCAAATTTGAGGAGTTGTGGGGATAAACTCTGGCTTTATTTACTCTTAGATAGATAGATAGAGACAGATAGATTACATTAGAGATAATCAAAACCATACAAAGTACCTTCTCGACCTAAATTACTCTTTCATGATCACTTCATAAACATAGAGCACTCATTTTTTTTCGTTTACCCTCTTTGCACACTACCTAGAGGGAACTGTTTTTTTTATATTTGAAGACAACACGGAACTCGGACCGCCACCCTCCGGCTCTAGTAGCTTCCGCTGCCGCCGCCGGAGAAGCTGATGTCGCATTGCTGATGACCAAGGCCGCACCCGTTGGCAAGGTTCTGGGCCTTCTGGACCTCCTCCCTCAGCTGCTGTCCCTGAAGCTCACCCCGTTGCCGCTGCTGCTGCACAATTTGCCTCAGCCCCTCGCACTGGCATTGCTGCTGGTCTATCTGCCTCAGTTGCTGGCAGCATTGCTGGAGGGACTCCTCGCCTCCCTCGTGCCTCGGCAGCACGATGAAACCCCTGCGATTTTCCCTTAACCACGTTAGAACAAACCGAAAGAAAAAAACCAAAAAAAATAGCGAGGTTATGACAAAATGCTTACCTTCCTCGGGTAATGTATTGCTCGCACTCGCGGAGCTGATGGATACAAATCGTAAGACGTTTGAATGGTTTACTGCATTATGGTTCACATCATGGTCGAACTAGTACCTTGTTAGTTTTGTTAGCTGTAAGTGGCTTGGTGCAACAGTATGTTTTAGAAACTTTAGAGCACAGTGGTGTAAGAGCACTTAGTTCTGTATCATCTGGAAGCATATTCAAAATATGACGCGGGTGCTTCAACTGCATTGCCTTTTCCATTGACGAAAAGTAGAGTTCCGGTGCAACATTGTTCAGTCATTAGGATGGGAAAGAGACTGAGTAAAAGATTCACTCCTCACCCCGATAGAGTAATGTCACGGTGCAGCGTAATGCTGGGTATAGCACAATGTGCGTGGAATTTCTTACCTCCACCAATAGTTTCAACAAAATGAACTTGTCATTGTGCCCGTGTGCATCGAGTCCATGTGCCCGTGCATTGAGTCCCTATACCGTGCGTTGTGCCTGGGTGCATCTAGTCTCCCCCGTGGTGCCTGTGCTACCTTGCATCATGCCTGTGCTGCCCCAAGCATCGAGTCCCTGTGCCTTGTGTCGTGCCTTGAGACTTGCGTTGTGCCTGTGTATCATGCTGAGTGCATGGGATGTGGCCGATGGTCATGGCCAAATGTATCGTGCCGGGGGTCATTGGTTCATGGCCAAGTGCTGCATCGTGCCCGTGCATTGTGCCTGTGTGTCGTGTCCCTTTCCCTTGCAGTAAGCATGCTACCGTGAGAATTTCGGAATCAAGCTTTAATTGCTCGTTGGTCTTCACGTGGAAACGGTAACCATCCAAGAGTGGCATTTCGAGGCTAACTTGGGTTGGGCCTAACAAGTTGAGATCTACGTGGGCCCTCTCTCCCTTTCCCTTGTATGGGCTCCGGGCCCATTTCTGCCGTCCACGAGGAGCCCAAAACGTCGCCGTTAGGGCCCATCTCCTCCGGCCCACCTAATCCCGAAAAACCGAAAGCGCAACGTTTTTTTCGAGGCTTCCTGCTCCGTCGGGGGTCCCGCCCCCGCGCGCCAACGACAAAAGGGAGAAACGACCCCGCCGGCGTCTGCAAGCCCACGCGCTCCCCTCCGTCGACCACGTGTACGGCCAAGCGGCGTCGCGGCGCATCGACGGAAGGGGAGCGGCGAGTAAACCATCCAACCGGTACTCTCGGGCTGTCGAAAAAACGAAAAAAAAGAAGAAGAAAAAAGGCTGTTTGCCGCACCGACCCGCGAACCTGACCCGAAGCCCGTGCCCACACGCGACTTTTGTTGTTATATCTCTCTCTGGCCCTCCTCGTTCGTCTGCATCTCCGCTTTCTCTCTCTCTCTCTCTCTCTCCGAAGACGCCCCGCGAGAAGATTCTGTAGAGAGAGAGAAAGGGAGGTCCTCGTCGGAGCTGCTCAGGCCTCATCCAGATCCGGCGGCCCTTTGTCCCCTCGAACTTCGGATCTGGTGAGTCCTCCCACGACGTGATCTGGTAGTTTGCTTCGTCGTGCGTTAGGGATCGAGAATCTGTTTTCTGTGGGAAAGCGAGGGTTTCTGCTGCCGACGTAGCTTTTTTTGAGATTGAAGGGCTAGGGCTCCGCGTGTGGCTGATTTTGCGCCTTCTTTAGGCCTAGCGAATTGTATGTTGGGAGATCCCCTTGATCTGTGATCGGAACGCCTGTAATTGTGAACCCCGGTTTCTGTTTCTGACAAAGCGGTGTTCTGGAAGATTTGCGGTTGTTCGCAGGGTTTCGCAGGATGTGGAAGGTGTCGGATCTTAGGATTGTGTTGTGTTTTGTTCGGGTTGATTGTGTGATCGATTTGGGCAAGATTTGTGCTCGACTGTGAAATCTGGGATGCGATGCTTTTCGAAATTCCGTGTTTTTCTCATCCCGCCCCTCGCGGATTTGGGCTGTGAGCTTGACTTAGATTGGGAGGAGGACGGTGATTGTCTGTAGGACGGTAGTGCCTCTAGTTTGTTTATCTGGTAAAGTTTTCTGGAATGAATTCCGAGTTGGTGTCCTCGTCGAGATGGCGTCTAGATCCTTATACGATAATAATCTAGTGCACCTTGTTGGTTGCCTTAATAATAGATGGGAACCATCTTTTTGCATCTCATGTTTGTGTTCTCCTTCAAGGGCAAGAGCGCGAGAGGTTTTGTTGGGGGGGGGGGGGGGGGGGGGTCACAGGTGTGTGTGCATGAGCGCGCGTGTTGTGGTGTGGGCATTTCCTTTGGAAGTATGAAATAATATTCTGTTGTGATTTTGTTGTATTTGTTGTCGCCCTTTCGGGGTGTTTTTTCGTTTTTTGGCTGGAGTGGTGATTTGCTCACTTCTTGTTCAGGTCTGAAGCTCTCTGGTTGCTACAAAGTTTCAATATCAACAGCCAAGTTTCATGTCTGATCTCGACGTCCAGATTCCCACTACCTTTGGTATGTCAATTTTTCTTTCATTCAATTTTTGTTACTTAATATTGTAGCTTCTTTTGAGGGTTACTGAGCTTGTTTTGTGTTCTCTCCTTCGTTGGGTGTTTCAGATCCTTTTGCTGATGCTAATGCTGAGGACTCCGGTGCTGGTTCAAAAGAGTATGTGCATATTCGTATACAGCAACGGAATGGTAGGAAAAGTCTGACGACTGTGCAGGGATTAAAGAAAGAATTTAGCTATAACAAGATACTTAAGGACCTCAAGAAAGAGTTCTGCTGCAATGGGACTGTTGTCCAGGATCCAGAATTAGGGCAGGTTTGTCATCAGCACAAATCGCTTTGCTCTTTGCTTGTAATCTGTTCAAATCGACTAACTTCCTATATGTTTCCATAATCATAGGTCATTCAACTTCAAGGTGATCAGCGTAAGAATGTTTCTACCTTCCTTGTCCAGGTATTGACCCTTTTCAATTAGCATGTCCGTAGAATGTTTAGGAGACCTATTGACCACATTGGTCTATGCATAAGCATGATAATCGGTCGCAGTTGACACTCTGGTCCTTCTATGTTTTTTATGTCAGGCTGGAATCGTGAAGAAGGAGCATATCAAGATTCATGGTTTTTGATTGCAGTATCTTTGCATAGTGCGTGGCCTGTGTTAGGGCGTCATATCTAGACTTTGAACTGTGCTTACTATGTTATTTTGAAGGCACTTCTGTTCTGCTTCTGGGTTTTTGTCAATTTCCTGAATTGTGATGTGTGTTGTCTATGGAACATATGGCACTTTGTTACTGTTTATGTACTCGTAATAAGAGTTTGGGTGTTAAGATACGGAGTCCGTCTCTCTCTTCTCGTTTCTTATTTGTCTCCTGCCACCATGAGCTCGAAAAAAGGGTGGCATGATGAGTTTGACGCCTTGAGGTGAATGTCCTGGGTTCAATCAAGCTTGTGTTCATAGAATCTTTATAATGGTTTGGTATGCGCCGTCTGTTCATCATTGGAATCGGTTCTACCCGGCCTCGCTGTTGAATGTTGGTTTGCGCCTTTGACTCGGGGCAGATGCTCGTATGGCCAATTATCTGAATCGGTCTTTAGATCTGACCCAATATCCCATTTTCCTTGCCAATAGTGACAATGGTAGAAGTAGAATGATTTGATCCCATTTACGGGATGCTGCTGCGAAGAAGCGAAGGGCATGATTTGCATGGAACGATCCATAGTTGTCATGGGATCCACTGTCCCTGATACTTACACCGTAGGTGGAGGCTAAGAGGTCGGCACACCCATGACCAATGGTGGATCATCTCGTCGTTTAGATCAACGGGGCGGTAGGACTGTGCTAAATTGATGGGATAGCTCAATATCTTTGAGCGGAAGGAAGATTTCGGGAAAATGCCTCGGCCACCGTGGCCCATCAATCATAATTAATAATCGCAGCATAAATTATAACGACGAAATGCAATGGGAAACTTCGCATCGGTCATGATCCTAACTCATTGTCGCCGCAAGTGTCTGGATTGAAGCGGTACTTGAGTACAACCGCTCATGGTTTCGTGCAATGTCTGGTGGCTTAAAACCAACCAATAATTGATATTTGAAGAACTTTCATTTACGTTGTCAACCAACTCAAATTCGAGGATGCTCCGTCCCCCTCCCCACCGCCCTTGGCAGAAGTTATCGCATGAGCGTTGTCACATGAGATTCTAGTGAAGTGACAACTGGCCATCATGGGATCAGAGGTGGTGTATAATTTCATCGATTTGATCGTATAAATAAAGAAAAAATTATTCAAAAAGTTATAAATTTATTATACTTTTATCAATTAAGTCATAAATATTTTAATTTTGTCAATTGAGTCATTAACTTTTTTACATTTTGCCAATTGAGTCCATACATGGCACGGTCGATACTGACGTAGGCATTTTAAAATAATATTTTGATAATTTTTAAACTTTTATGGTTTTTTTATTTTTTTCCTTTTCATTGTTTTTTTTTTTGTTTTGGAATTAAGGCTAGCAAGGGCTGGCGACCCTTGCCAGGCATAAGCGAGGGCCAGCCAACCCTCACTGCATCTAGGCGAGGGCTTGCGCGCCCTTGCTTTTGCCGACGAGAGCCACGGCCTGGGACCAATGAAGGTTGCCAAGCCCTCACCTGGCCATATATGGCGAGGGCGTCGCGGCCCTTGTAGGATCTGGGCGAGGGTTCGTGCACCCTCGCTTTGCCCGACGAGGGTGTCGTGGCCCTCGCCCAAAGTCGACAAGGGCCGCAACACCCTCGCCCAAATTTGGCGAGAATCGACTGGCCACCCTTGTTGACCCTATCTCCAAAAAGGAAAAAAAAACCATAAAAAATTCAATAGGTCAACGTTGGCAATTTCCGATCAAAATAGGTCGGATGAACTCAATTGGCAAGAAGTGAAAAGGCTTAGGACTCATTTGGCAATTTTAAAATGTTTAGGACTGAATTAGCAAAAGTGCAAAAGATTTATTACTTTTTAGACAATTTTCCCTACTAACGAAAGTCAAGAGGATTAGATACGGGCATACTAGAGCTGGCCAAAATGGGTATTTTTAACTCAAATTCAATGAGATGGGTCAAATATGGGTTATTTAAAATTTCAAACGGGTTAAGTGGGTTCACAACATCAAAGCTTAACTAGATATGGATCTTAGTGAGTCTAAAGACAAATCCATTTACAACCATTGTAAGATTATAAAAATTATTTGTTGAAGAAATATCAAGAAAAGAAAAGAAACGGGGATTTGTGCTGTCGAACAAGAGAGGGAACCGCTACCGACACTGCCCTTTGCCGTCAACGATGCCGCCCACAATGGCCAATTGCCCCTCCGCCTCCGCCGCCCGCCGTTGCTTTGTTGAGTGGGCATCTTTCTCAAGGATCTCGGGAAATTGGGTCATTGCTTTGCCGATTGCGGCGTCTTTCATCGTTTCCTTTATTCAAGTTTCGTTCAAGACCAAGAAAGCTGAAGGAGATGGTCTTTTTTGTTGCTAACCTACAAAATCTTTCAACGAAAATGATTCTACACTGTACAATCGAGATCCAAGAAACCTCAGCAACCTTGTATTCATCCAAATCGCGCGAAAGAAAAGAGCCAATCGGCCTTTTCACACGAATCCAGATGAGGCGAACAAATCCTAGCAAATCGAGCTAGAAGACGTCCAATCAACCTCCAAGTATCGAGTCAAGTCTGACACAACAAATCTCCCATGATAGAGCAAATCACGGTATACAATGGAGTGGCTAACGCAGCATATGAATTACTCTTTTACACCTCCTCCGAGATTTTCGATATACTTTTTATCGGTCACCACTTGTTTTTTGTGATAATATAGGGACAATCTATCTGGCCACAAATCTCATCTTTCATGCATGAACCAAGTACGTGAAAATTGACTAATCATTTTGTTTGTGATTTAATCAGCAAGAAGCAATTGGAATTCGCTTCATTCCTACATAGGTGCACATGGCCGAAATGTGCAACCTCACAGTGACTCCGTGACCATTTCGTTTGAAGGGGTGTGATAGAGCAAATCTCCAACGATAGAGCAATCTTCCACAGTCTGTGTCAATTCCGTTATAGAGTCAATTTCATTGATAGAGAGAATCTTACACAATCTGTGCTAATATTGTAGATTCTTACATTTTGTATAATCTTTTCCATTATAATTTTCCTGCTTATGTATATACTATAAATATAATACAAATTTCCAAACCTCCAAACCGATGTGTGTGCGATCAAATTCAGATTTATACTCTTGCAAAATCCAGACTGAGACCAGCAAGGCAATGACCCTACATTGTAAAATTGAGATCAATGCGCGCATATTTAGAAACACCTCCAATTGCTAGGAAAAAAAAAAACCACATTGAAACAGAATCAAAAGAGGAGCGACGAGACACCGCCTTTGGGAGACCGGACAGAGAAGCTTCCAATCGAGGAAAATCACTGCACAAGAAGACCGATAACACAAATAGAAGACGCAAATCGAAGAAACAAGTTAGGAGGACCAGTGACGTCAGCAATTGGCGGAGCGGACAGCGATGACGACGGGAGGCAACGGCACAATGGGCAATGACATGAGCAATCGATGTTCCTATTAATTTTTTTTTGTCAGATTTAGGCTGGATCTGAGTTGAGTTGAGTATAGGTCCTCTAAATTGTTTACAAAATAAAAGTGTCAATATAAGTTAAATGAGTCTATTTGGATCGAACCAATTAAAGACCCTCCCAAACCCAACCCACCCATTCGTCACGTCTCGGGCTTATAAAGTAAATTTGCACGACAGATGCATATAAAGGGAAATAAAACGAAACAATTGATCACTGGATGGTTGGTTGGCTTTGGCTTCACACCCCGAATACAACTGTAGGTCTAGCAATTACTTTGTACGCACCGGGTGTATTCACTGTCTCTTAGGAGCGGTATACGTGGTATTTAGGTACTAACTCTGTAAATAGAAGCATTCGATTTACTTCCTCTAGTGCTTGATTCTCCAATTTTCTCTGCGCTTTGCTCAGTTTCCATCCGGACGATGATAAGGGAAAAAAACAAAGAACCATATCCTCTCGCCAAAGATCTGTCGAAAAGTGGCCGCGAGCGCGTCCGGACAAAACACGCAACAAATATCTGCATGCGAATGCAGAGGAAAGGAAAGGAAAGGAGAGGGAAGGAAGAAGATATTATCATCGTCTTCCCAATTACCAATTTACCACTGTCCGTTTCAGTGGGCCCCAGCAAGATCCAGAAAACGCCAAACGGGATCCCCGCCCTTTTGCTCAAAAGGCCACCCCGAAAGGCAATCGCGCGTGGGCCCCACCCGTGCCCCAATCCTACGTTAGAATCAGCAAACGAGCCAGACATTTCGGGACAAAAATCCAAAAAAAAAAATTTAAAATATAAATAACATGTAACGGTTTTGAAAAAAAAAAAAGTAAGGGAAAATTTTAAATAAAGTGCCGCCATTTTCTAAAATAAAGATTCGTAGTGAATTTTATTTTAAATAAAAGATTGAATTGGCTATTTCCCTCTCAAAGAAAAATGCCGCCTTCGTATCCTTATTTGGAAAAATAAAGATAGTTTGGTCATTATTTGGAATTTTTTCTTAAAAAAAAAAGCGAAAAAGGAAAAAAACGGACGAAAAAGGGAGCGAATCGTCTTCCTCGCATGCACTGCTCATGACCCCAGCGGCGCCACTTGGTGCAGAGATGGACACCACCTTGCCCCCATTCTGGACCCTTCAATTCCTATCCTCCTCCTCCCTCCACGTGTCCCCCCCGGTCCCTCCGTCTCCGATATTTTCCTCGCCGCCCCCCTTCCTTATATACTCCCCCACCCTCGCCGCCCCCTTCGCTCTCATCCTCTCCCCCACCTGCGAAAAGAAAACCCTCGACATACCCCCGGCCGCCCCGCCTCCCACCACCGCAGCCGCCGCCGCTCGCGAGCTCTCCCCAATGGCCGCCACCATCGCCTCCTCCCTCTCCTCCAAGCCCAAGCTCTCCTCCCCCTCCTTCCATGGCGCCCCTCTCGCCCCCGCCGCCGCCCAGTCCCTCCGCCTCCCGGCCCCCAGGTCGTCGTCCGCCCCCCACTCCGGCGTCTCCATGTCCGCCGCCGCCTCCTCCCCGCCCCCGCCGCCGCCCTACGACCTGAAAGCCTTCCGGTTCGACCCCATCAAGGAGTCCATCGTCTCCCGCGAGATGACCCGCCGCTACATGATGGACATGATCACCTACGCCGACACCGACGTCGTCGTCGTCGGCGCCGGCTCGGCGGGGCTCTCCTGCGCCTACGAGCTCAGCAAGAACCCCGACGTC